AATTTAGGTTCCCAGCCTAGAAACAATAGTTATGGATTAAATTAGAAAATTCTGGGCTTCAGACATTTAGGACTGCATGTGTCAACTCCTGGGAAGGTTCTTTTTTGTAACTCTCATGTAAACGATTAAAAAATTTTAAGAGCAAAAATGTTTCCATGTTTTTAAAAAATGTCTCCCCCATTTACCATTTTATGTCAACTTGTCAATTTATACCATACACGGCTGGGCTACTGGATGTGGCTTACAATTGTGTTTAAAATGAGCTGCCACACTCGTTTATAAAGAAAGTATCACTACTTCCGTGTCCCAGTACATCAAAAGTACATGTCATGGAGCCGCAGTGTTGCCACGAGCAAAGTAGGATTTCCTACATGAGGTGATTGTGATCAGACCTGATGACCAATCTCCACAATTCCAAGGGCAAAATACACAGGGGACACTGCCCTTACTATCAATACCACAACATCCCCTCAACTCACTGACAGAGATGTAAGAGTGGTGGAAGTAGCCCAGTCTAATGTTAAATGGGTCAACTTAGTAGCTTTTTGACTTTTGAAGACTATTAATATTATTTCTAAGCTTTGCAACTTTGCACAGATTTAAGTTAAGGTGTAAACTCCCCTCTTTCCAAGTTTTATCTCTCCGTCTCATCTCAAAGTGATTTAAAAAAAAAAATTCTGACAGCAGAGGTGTTAAATCTCTTTTCGTCAACTTATTCAGCCGCACAAAAGATTGTTGTGCTACTGAATATGACAAACAATTTTCTTTAAAATGAGCTGCCACACTCATTTATAGAGAAACTATCACTTCTTTTCAGTACGAGTACTTTAAAACTACAAGTCAGTCTGACGCAGAGCAGCGACAAGCAATGTAGGATTTCCTACATGTGGTGATTGCGAGCAGACCAGTTGCCTAATCTCCACCATTCCAAGGTCAAAATACTCAAGGGACACTGCCCTTTCTTCCCATACTACAACATCCCCGTAACTCACTGAAAGAAATGAAAGAGTGGTGGAAGTAGCCCAGCCTACTGTCAAATGGTTCAACGTAGGACTTTTTTGACCTTTGAAGACTCTTAATATTAACACCAAGCTTTGCAACTTTGCACAGATTTGAGTATCCTTCCAGAATTGTTC